ATTGGCTTGAAAACGGAAAACAAGACCTTCGCTCACATCGCCTGCTCCTTAGAATGCGGCACACGTTTGTAGGAAGCACTGGGGTTTAAAAAGGCGACAAGAAAAATAAAAAGCGGCAGGCGCACGGGCATCGGCACAGAAAGTAACATAACCGCAACACTGCTCCGTGTCAGTTAGTGATTTGGTTAGACCAAAACGGGAAGTAAACCCTAAGATTGCACAAGGCCTGACCACTGAGTACCAGGAGGTGACGTGTTCCCAAAAGCTACAGTGTGAGGTTTCGTTGTAGGCCTTGCTCAAAGCGGATCCCCCTTCCACATGCTTGAGAATGTTCACTTTACAGAGTCCGACGCCACGTGATCACGGTTGCCCGCGACCCCGTCTCGTCCTTATTACTGCCGTCAAGATCTCGGAACAGACTGTTGGCCCCCGCGTTCCCATCGGTGGAACATCAAGGGTGGCACCGCACGGGTTAAGCATCCCTTCCACACTCGTGCTGCTCACAATACACGAAACGCTTATGTGCTGACCTCTGGGAGCTCGGTGCAGTAGTGCACACAACGCGTCCATTTATTGACCCTTACCGCCTGCTGAACGCAATGTGCGAGTTTGTTCTTGATGCGCTGGGTCTTGTGGTCCTGAATAGGCTGCAGCGTCACCGACCGAGCCTCCACATCGTCTGCCTGCGGCTGCGTTTTCTCCTTCTGCAATGCGCTCAGCTCCCCCGATGATGCTCCCTTGACGTTTGAGTCATTTCGTCCAAATGAGTAACCAAAGTTCCCAGCAACAGCGTTTCCTCACAATGCCAGTCACCTAGTGCTGACTGGTTGCACATATCATCAAAACTAAGGGTGCTGGAAGCCTGAACGGCATGGTTCCAAGTACGGTGCTACAGCCACCTTTTCCTTGGAACCACGTTCTATCGTGGCTCCGTACACGTGGAGAAGACAGGGAAAAACCGACTGCAAGCCCTTTCTCCAACCCTTGCGGTTGCTTCTAATGCCATTACGTCAGTTACGTTCACTAACTTGACCGAACACGAGAATCAGCGGAAAGCAAACTCGTTTCGGGAGGACCCGACACTCTCTACGATTGTGAACATGACGTCGTTCGATTCGAGTACGCACGTCCAGCAAGCCTAAAGTACTGGATTGCGATGTCAGCAACAAACAACCACGTCGCCTGATCCCCCCGCTGTAAAGCTGCAATTATTTTTTCCAATACGTTCAGCGTCTACGCACTGGCCGACATGGTTCACCTTGGTCTCCGACTGGCCCAAGAAGTCGGCGAACTCGTCCAGCTCGATGCCACCACTCTGGGGTAGGAAAAGTCGCGTACAAACAAAGCGGGCAACGGCGAGTGTAGAGGGCATAATGGAGTCGCTGGCGATGAGGCATGGGTTTCCGGGATCGAAACTAAAAAAACACTTCTGTGGAAACCAGGATATAAGTATCTTCCTGGGGGTAATGATGCACATGCGACCGGCAAAGATCGTCGGACTGCATGAACAATGTTCTACCGCACGAGACATTTGCCGGGAAATATTCACACAATACCGTGACTATTCATGTGACTCTCGGAGACGGGGAGATGGCGGTGAAAGCGCCCACGCTCCTCACTCTCACACTTTTCACCTTTCTTGAACTAGCTAAGCCGAGACTCTCGGCTACGCTTGGCACTTCCTCGCCACAGTACAAGAAGAACGATTTTACCTCCGTTGGTGAACGGTTCACCACTTGAGATACCCTTGCTCTCAACAGAGAAAGGGTATTCTCACTTCATTCATTTGATGTCTACCTGGTGTGGCTTGTTTACTACCGGCATCTCGTCTTGTTCAAACTCTTTCAGTCTTAATGTCTCGCGTTTGAACGATGTTACGTAGTTTTGGACCAGTGGCTACATATCGCACCCTCGGCAGTAGTCGTTGATCCTGCACCATTGCTGCACCTAAATCTTCTATTCCCACATAAATGCTGCGGCTGCTCGTTTCAGAGGTACCTTGTCGGTGTCAATTTTGTCGAAGAGCGTCCTTTGAAGAGATCGAGGGAAAACGTGATCGAGCTGGCACATGGTGATACCTTCGCTGAACTCGTCGAAGTCGAGCACACCGTCGCAGTTGGAGTCGTACATCTAATGAACGTTGCCAACGACGGTAGAGGAGAAATGGGGAGGGCGCGATCGTTCAAGGAAGTATCCCCTTGGGCCGAGTGAACGCAACTTGCCAGCATGACAACACCAACAACTGTATAAAACCCTTGTTCTCATACCATGGATGCATTGTGCTGGATCGAAGATCTAGTTTTCTTGTCGGGCATGATGCGAAGCCACGCAGGGTCTCACTGGCAAATGCTGACGATTTTCCACAAGTCGAAGGTCGAAGCAAGCCCTGAATGGCACGATGTCGAGCTGTTTGTGAGGGGTCCAGCTCCGCCCCATTAAACTCCTTTGGCCAGTTGTGTGTTGATGCGTACGTCATATTGTCAACTTAACGCTGTACACGATGATGTACCGGTTCCAGCAAAGTTGGATTGAGTAGTGCGGACATGAGGGGAACAGAGGTGCCACATGCTAGGAAAGTAAATACCGACATAGACAGCGCCTACCCGAAAAAACTCCTTGACGCTGCCGTACTTGAGGGTGGCAATGTCACCGAGTCTCTGGCTTGCACGTTGAACCCATCTGTCGTGCAATAGTTGACGGTGCCGATACGGGTCCATGACAGGCACCTTGCTCGGGGGCGCGTGAAGACCTGTCGCGTAAAAGTTACACTCTGGCGTTGATATCTGCAGCGTTGGCCATGGGTGCGTCGCCTAGGAAACAATTATGGTTGAGGCGGGCTGCTCTGGGCATGATCAAAGGTAACCACCTCCGGAACTGGCGAACTCTATGTATGTGGTGTGGTTTACTCGTAGACAGGCGTTGTAGAAAAAAATGTTTTTTCCGTACTGCTGCTGATCGATGCTGTGCAGAACATATCACGTCTCACCTGATGTGTAAGCCATCTGTGTTGAGGTCATGTACGAGTCGCTCACTCCTGAGGACTCCATCTGTGTTTTATTCGCCGCCGATGCAATCGATTTGCTTTCTTGTTCAATTTTTCGCCGGCTACTGAGGTTGTGAGCAAGTTGTGCACCCAGCGAAGGCATAGAACTGGAAGTCCATAGGGTCTCGCGAGCCTTCCCATTGACCTGGTCACACACGATGGAATATCGTAAGATACTCATGTCCGATTCCTCCACCAAACCAGCGTGAGCCATTCCCGATCTTGTGTTCCAACCATCTGGGCAAAGTTTCTGGGCAATACACCGTGCGCTGGCCCGAAATTCACAACGGAATGCATGGAGACTCAGACCGTTGTTGGTGGACTGGACCCCTTTTTCGCCGAACGACTTGCCTAGAAGGAGGGTGAATCCGTATTCTGCATACCTTATATGACACAAGATGACACACACCCTTGACTAATTTTTCGAAGCTCCATTTCTCAACTGCAGGAACAGTCACAGCGCCGAAAACGGCGGCGTTGAAACCGTCTCGTCGAGAGCTTTTCGAAAATGTATGGTTTCGTTTATGCATCCTCTTCATCGTGGAGTAATCGAGCTTTGAAAATCGCTCCAGGGGATGTATTATCTTGTGTCATATACGGTAGGCAGATGAAGACAGCCCGCCGCTGCCGAGTAATCAATAGGGAAGCAGCAATACCGGAAGCGCACGACATCGACTTGCTCAGACTCACTAAGAAGGAGAGCAGCTGGCCAGCAAACGCCACCAAAGGTTGGTCAACAAGACGCGCAAAATTGTGACAGCCACTTCATGTCCGGTTCTCCCGCTGAAAACATGTCATATGGTACATACCTGGTACACGTAATTATCACCGACTCTTTCCTGGTTTCTATTCCGAAAATATCAAACGGACGACTCCCAGTGCGAAAAAACCAACAAAGGCTGGTCTGTATAAATGTGGGTTCTCTACGTCAGGCCTTTAGTATTGTGCATACCACATATGACGGCGCCAGCTGCGGTCAGAGCAGTATTTAGTCGACTGCTGTCGTCTCGACTTTGTACCGGAAGACTGATTTACTCAACTGCCGTAGCCTCCTTCGTCACACAACCAGTTCGTGGTACGCAAAATAACTCTCGAATCGAATAGCTCTCGGGTGTGTAGCAGTAGATGCTGATGGTGTGTATTCTCGACTTACTTTTGAGCACTCCATCTCCTTTGGACAACGTGCTCACCAGGCTCCTTCGGCTGAACTCATCTGCAGCCGACATGGGGCGCGCCCTCGCACCGCTTGACCGACGTTGACTTCCAGTAGATGCGTTTGCTCTTTCTACGACTGTCGGTGACGATGCAGACGACCTGTTCGTACTGCCGACTTGAGTGCGTTTACGCCCCGACCTCGCGGAGTTCGTGCCGTTGTCCTCCATTAGTCCCTCCACCCTCAACCTATGTTGCTCTCTCGGCAGCTGTCGGCCACAATCCAAGAAATCACGAATCGTAGGCGTTATAGAGCAGTCGCCTGTCTCTCTCTGTTGACTCGCACGGCATTTCACGTTCTACCTTCTCCATCCAAACCTCGAGTCATCTGCTTCCCGCACGGTGGAGGGCGGTCTTCAACCACGTACTGGTGAACATGCGCTGGCCGCTTCGAATTCGCCCCCGCCGCCCGCTGCAATCGGAATCATGAGCGAACCGGTAGAAGATATCCCGCCGAACCTTCTTGTAGCCCTACAGCAGCCCTACGCACCTACACTGCTGCTGCCCTTGCCAAAATTGTAGCCAATACCAAGCAGATATCACAACACTCCCTTCATCAACACATTGCCTCTGACGATTTCCTTGAACGAAAACTATATCAAACTGTTCTGCTTCCGAAAACACACGAGTGAGGGTAGCAGGGAAAACAGCGAGTTGGAAACCCCGGGAAGTGTTCCTTTTTTTTGACCCTCCCGGGGACATGAAAATTTATCCCCTCCCGGGGGACAAATCAGATCTGATCCCCGAAGAGGCATTCATCCCCTGGAACAAGCCCGGAGCGTCTCGAACGATAGAGGTGTGTTGGGTGCGCGAGCCTACCGTCTAGGATCAGCTCTCACATTCGCCCCTCTGTTGGGAGCATGAACAGAGGTGAGTCTCGTTTTGCAGCTCCACGATAGCAAAGCCGCGAATGCTGTATTGTGGTTCGCCGGTTAATCTCTGTGGGTGTGTGTAGGGCCAACGCACAGTCTAGATTCGATGGGCGGTGTTTAGGCGGTGAGAGAGAGGACAGAGAGAAGGACGCGCTCGAACGATGAAGGGAACGGTGTACATAGCCACGGGTACATAGGGTACATGGTGGGGGGATAGAGGGCGGCTTTGGAGTCAGAAGTATCTGTGACGAAGCGAAAACGAGAAGAGTCGACACACCTGTGGGATGTTTTGCTTTGTTCTCTGCTGTCGGCGACAAAAGTTGTTGCGATGACCAAGTGATCGATCATCAGCCACACCGAACCTCGTACCTACCTTCAGAGGCGGTAGTTGCGCCCTCTACGTTCTACATGCATTCCGCAATGTTCATATCTGAGGCTCGTGATGCCTAGCGGTAAGCTTCTTGCATTTGTTCTCCAACTGGTGGTTGTCATGTGTACTCGTACAAACCTGCGGGATCCGAGAGGCACCTGAGGCCTTTTTCTCTCTGGCTTGGTGTGCAGTTTTTGTTTTTTGTCCCTTCCTTCCCCGCAGTTCACCTACTACCCTGCTGAACCATCTCGACGTGCATGCGCTCCTCCTCGCTTGCTCCTCCAGGGGCAAAACCCACCTCAATCCTTGTGCACATGCTAGCGTCTACCCAATCCCCCGAGTGGGAGAAAGAAAGGGCTCTTTTTTCGTTTGATGAGACCGATTTTTCTAATGGCCGACGAGATCGCACCCATCGGTTGGAAAAGCATCGCACAACCCTGTGAACTCACCGAATGAATCATTCTCAATATTCAGGCGGGTGCTCACATGTAGCCACACCAACTTGTGCGCAAGCAGAACAGATGCCAGTCTCAGAGCTTCACAGCTACCTTTCGCACACGAACAAAACGGCGGGATGCAGGGGGGAAGGCGGTTGTTGCTGTCATGGTGTAAGCATGCTTTTTTTGAACGGCGGATTGTCATCGTGATGCATGTAGTAGTTGACGAACGGCGCAGGACCTGCTGCATCCGGGCTGTTCGTGGTGTGTTACAATCGCGCAAGACGCCTCTGCATATGCCAAAGCGCACGTAGAATCCCCCGCTGCTAACACCCTCTCTTTCGCTATTTATTTTTCGGAATCCACTTGCCACACTCCCCCCCCTCTGCCGTGACCTTCGCAACACGTGATTTTTTTCGTTTGTGCTACAATTGCTGCTGGCGGGCGATGTGCGTACATGCGGTGTTATTTCCTCGTCGCAATGGACTTTCGGAATTGAGGTATAACGCACGGATAAACCCACAGCGATACAGTAACTCACAGCAGCAAGAGACGAAGTACATTTGTATTTTTTTTTTCGGCCCTGAAAGGTTCTCAAACCTTATCACCTTTCCTTCATGTACCTCATCACGCTCGCTCCTCGCTCCATAGACGACTCTAAAGCTACAACGGCCAACAGCAGTCAGCAACTGCTTCTGCAGCAGTAGTATCATAAAAGCATGTTGGACTTTTCCTCCCGCTGTTCTTCACAGAGCAATGCCCGTTGGCATTGGTTGACTTACCTTGTGGATCCGATCCGATCCCTCCATCCTGCATGTGAAGACACCCACACGCATGCGCTATCTGTGTACCGTCCTACCGAGCGAGGGACCGACTGCCGGCAAATCAACCATGATGACAACGCTTCCCACGCTATGGCGAATAGTTCGAAGCACCCCGTACATCTGGGACTCGAAGTGGCAACGCGCTACTGTTGCTGCAGACCCTTACTTTCCGCCTTCCTTACAAGCGTCTCCTTCGTCCATCGTTACAGTACGGGGTCCACTCAAACCTCAGCACGCCCTCGATTTCGTGCACTTGCTCGCGAGGTGTTGAGGGCATGGGTGCGATGAAATATCGGGCTGGTACGGTGATTTGGTTGATTTCGGGGTGGAAGGGGCTACTGTAAAATACATAATACGTACCACCCCCTTTTCGCCGAGACGTGAGCAGGGCTGCCCTCGAGTGGCCAACATAAAGGAGGAACGGGGAGAAGCCATGTAGGCGATGTTAAAAGTGTGTGACAACATTCCTCGCCTGGGTTGCCGTCGGCGCTTGCTTACCACCCCGTTGGACCTCCGCACCGTGTACCTCCCCGCCCTCCCCCCCTTGCCCCGCTCCCGCCACTCTCTTTCAGGCCCTCACGGGTAAAGCTAACTTGTGTCCAGTCGCCTTCAGGAGGAACTGTAGTTTTAGCGTTAGCGCTAGTGTGAGGAGCGATGTCCACCAGGAGGGGGGCGCCGGCGCCGGCCGTGGTTGGGAGCCACTTTGTCAAACAGGTGAAAGGGTGGTGGGTCCCGTTGCATCTTGTCGCGTGAAGGCTTCTATGCGGATAGGTGTCACAAGAATCGAAAGCTGTGGTGGGAAGGACGCCACTGGAGTTGGAACGGGGTAGATGAATGGAGTGTCACAAATGGTACGGAAGGTTTTCTTCATCCCTTCCGTAACGCAGCAGCGGGGTTCTGGATATGGTGCGACGTCGTTGCCAATCATGGCCCCAATCCGGCAAGCTTCCCCTTCGTTGTTTCTCTCCATTCATGATGTCTCTCTCCATTCATGATGTTTCTCTCCATGCATGATGTACGGAGTCATGAGCGTGTTTAGTGCTCGGGATCATTCTCCTGCTTCCCGTCTCGATCTTGAGAGCTGTGACGAACGCAATCCAATAAACAGGAAGTGCCGTATGACTGACCAAAAGGGTCAACCGTGCTTAGACAAGGATCACCCTGAGCTCTCGAGAGTCGCGGTACCGAAGCACTGCTGTTGTCGTTTTGTAGTTCGTGTGTCACTTGGTCCCCTTGCTTGCCCCACCACGGGTTTTCCCCCTGCAATGATACTGTGGTGCCGCCACCAAGCGCTCAGATCGTGTGCGTCTGTTTGCATGTGGTGGCGAGCGTGATGCCATTCTTGCACACTGCATGCACGCAATGCCATTATTATTTTCGCTTGAACGCCATACCATCTGATACCAATTTGTTGATTCCGTCGCGAACGAATCGATATTCCCTGGTTAATACTTCAGTGAAAGTCAAGGTTGTCTGCAGCGACAGTCAAGTCCACCACTCATCGTTATGCCTTGCTGCTTTTGTTGATGTAATGGGTAATGTGTTTGGGCGGAGATGCCCTGAGCGAGCAGGTTTAGATACCCTTGCTCATTGTCTTTATGCAGTTCTTTTTGTTTCTCGGGCAGCAACTCGACTTCCGTTGCCCTCTGTCATGCAGCGAAACAAAAGTCGCCAGAGGCTGCCCCGGATCGTTTCTGACCGCCGTTGCCCGACTTTGGCAGGTGCTTACGGTTGTGTTGGGCTTGGATTTGGTCGGTGCATCTTACGTGGGAGCTGTTTTGAACATCCACCAATACTGTAGCCTGACCCCCGTTGAGAGTCGTACAGCAGTGTGGATGTACTTCGTATACCCCTACCTCCCTCAATGCTATCCACGATATTGGTGGTCATCGTCCTCCTTGGCGTCATGTTGATTGCTTTGTGTCGTGTTGGTGGCCTGTTGCCTGCTGCAGTACTACGGCGAGGTTTTGTCCAAGAAGCCGGTGGAGTTGCACCGCTTCTACAAGGACGAGAGCACGTTCTGCCACGCGTCTGGCACCAAGGAAGAGGTTAGTTAGCAGTGGTGGTGTGAGCCTGGTGTATCGACAAGAGAGAGGCAACGCGATGCCAGTATTGCACCACTGCTGTGCGGTGAAATGCAGAATGGAGCGGCTAGCCTTCTCGTGTTTTCTTGTCTACCACTACCGTCATTTCGCGCAAATCCCTCTGCAACTTAATCTAGAGTGAACAAAGGCAGCAAAGCGGGTGATTATTCCTTGGTCGTTGCGCTATTCGATTCCACGTCCAGGCCTCCCTCCTCACCAGTGAGCAGATCTCGTTGTATGCAACTTATCGTTTAGGAGGAGAACCCAGCACCTCATCATAATCATCGCTGCTATTTGTTGTTGGTGTTCACCAGGAGCCCGTATCTGGCCTTGAGGATATCAAGGCTAAGATTAAGCACCTCGGCCTTGGCGGCGCGACGGTTGATCTCGGCTGCGGGTCCGTCGATGCTCAGCCCTCCGAAGGAGGTGAGTTTGGCCAGGAGGTCATGAGATGATACACCCCTGAACTGAACCAACGCGCTTGGAATCAGCCTAGAAGGAGGTATGGTACGCACTGTAGTTTTGACGGGAGTGTGCTTCATTGGTCCGTCGACCAGCAATTGCGAGTAGCAGTCCATCCGCCGTCGAGTCGCTTGGCGGCACGTTGATGGTATCACGTTGATTGTATCTACCGGAATTCTTGATGGCAGTGGTCCCAGCGCCAAAGGGGCATCGCCGTACGTTTTGGTTGATGACGTTGCGACAAGGTTTCAGTCGTGGTGACATAGAAGTAGGAGATACTGGTGCCTGCCCTCGCCGCTTTGCTGATGTTCCCTCACACGATTCTTGGGCAGTTTGGGGAGTGTCTCCTCAACGATGTAGCAGCATGCCGCGTGTCGTTGACAAATTGATGAAATTTTGTATTGGTTGTATTGGTTGTATTGGACGGAAACGACGCCAACGGGACGAATGATTGGTCAGGCGGAGTGCTCCTGATGGTGACGGGCTCCATCACCATCGCCAACACGGACCCGCGGCAGTTCTGCCAGACGTTTTTCCTGGCTAGACAGCACCAGGACAACGACCGCCACAACTACTTCGTCCGCAACGACATCTTCCGGTTTCTTGACGTCCTTCCGGAGGTTGTTCAGGTGCAGTATGGACGTTGCCGTCCGTGTCAGGCGTAGGTATTGACATTGCGTATATTCACGATGGCAATTCTTGAATACTGTTCAGGTCCTAGTCGGTTTCTAGAACTTATGCCGGCTCCTGTGACGACGATAGATGTTTGATTTTTTTTACTTCATGACATTGGACGACGGGTGTTTGTATTCGAGGGTGACAGCAGTCTGCACTATCAAGTTTTCCCCCTTCCCTCTTGCCCTCTCACACGTGGCAGTCAACGTTTCCCAGCCGGTTACAACCCTCCTGCTTCGTCAGTTTTTATCCCGATATCTCTGTCGCATTAGCTGCTGTGACGAGCCCTTCTGTGTCAACTCGACACAACACCGCCCCTTGTCGGGATGAAAATCGAAGATGGACCCTCCCATGCATTGTTGGTGTGTTGGGACATTTATCGATGTGTTCTGTTTTCTGTTAGGCCGCCCTCAAGGCCCGCGACGAGGAAGACGGCTCCTCTGCCCTGGCCCCCGCTGAGGAATCATTGAAGCCAGAGTCTGTCGGCGAGGAGACGGTGGCGGCCGCGGTCACGCAGGTCCACGTGCGGGACACATCGGCCCCTCAGCAGGTTCGTTTGTAAATATGTAGGCATGCATACCACTGCTGCACACGTGCTTGCTCTCATTGCGGGCAAGGAGAGTGGGTGGCCGCTGGTGTTGCGTGTGTTTTGTTTTGGGCCGGTGAGGGGGTCGTCTGCACGCCAGCTAGGTTGATTGTAGGCTCTGCGGGGTTTCGTGAGTGTCAGTGCATGTATTGATTTGTTCTGCGCTGTTGCCTAGGCGACTTCCGACTGACTTGCTGTGTGGATATGGATATGTGTAGGGGCGGGTGGTATTGAGCAGCCGGAGAGAGTGCGACCTGTGCCATGCGCAGACTCTTCAAGTCTTCATCGGCGATGAGCATGAAACTTGTTCATGCGCGCACCGCTGTTTCCCGTTGTTGAAATCCATGAAATACGGCCCCTAGTTACACGTGTCACGCAGATGAATATGGAGCGATTCCAGGAGTAATGACCCAGCAGGATGTTCACGCTTGCTTTACTAGCTCGATCGCACTTGAACGTGTTACCTTTGCGTTTATTTAATACGTATGGGTGGTGACTCTGCATGGTGATGACGATCACAATGATTATTCTGCAGGCCCGTGGGTCGGCCGCAACACGTAGAAGCAGATGCGTTCAACGAGGAAGAATGGCTCTGCCTACGTGCCTGCTTGACCCACAGCCGTTGAAGGGAAGGGAGTTGGACTCGTTGCTCTCCAAGAACATGAATACAAGCGGTTGGGTCACGCTGACATTCTGGCGTGTGTACTTACCTCCCTCCGTTTGTGTCCGTCCACCTCTTCTCTCCCCTGGGCAGACTACCGCTTCCCCTGTGGCAACGGCGGCCGCGCCCGAATCTTCCCCGCCTTCGATGGCGGCGGGCGCCGCTCCCCCGTCCGAGTCTCAGGTTGCGGTTCCCGCTGACGCTGACGCCGGCGCCGCCACCGCTGCTGCGACCGCGGCTACGACTGCGACTGCGACCGCGCCTGCCGCGTTGGCAGGCTTGGACAACGGCTCGGCTGATAGGACTCCAGCGGCGAAGGTGAACATTCGTGGCTTGCTGGTTGGTCTCGGTTTCGGAGATGGAGGTGTTGGTTGTGTTGGTGTACTACTATAGTGTACTTGTCCTCTATCTCATACGGCGATCCGCAGTCATAGTCTTCAATTTGGGTGTGTTAGCGAGGGCTTGTTGCTTGTGTCATCCCGGTATCCCGGTGGTCTAGGGGTTTGGTTCCCCGTGGCGTAGGGGTCATTCATGTCCTGCCTAGGCAGCGTGCGTAGCGCCTGTCAACACCACTCTGCGCTTGCATCGTGTACGTCAACGCGGGGCGTTACTATGTCCGCCCCTATGTGAACCCTGAGTCTTGACTTTCCGAAACCCGCCCTTCCTTCCCCCCCACCTGTACCTGTCAAGGTGCCCCCCTCCCCGGTCGCCGCCAGCACCCCCGTGGAGTCCACCGAGAAGGCGGCGGCTGAGGCGGCTGAGGCGACCCCTCCTGCCTCCCCACTGCCGCCCGCGGCACCGGCTGCGCCCCCGGCTCCCATGACCTACGCGTCTCTCGCCAAGTCTTGGGCCACGGTGGCGGCGGACAGCGGCAGCGGAGCGGGGGCAGCTGCGGCGGTGGGCGCCCCGGCTTCTGCCGCGTCGCCCAGCGGCAACGGTAACGGGATCGCCACGAGTAACGGCGGGTGGGGTGCTCCGGATCCGGCGGTGGCGGCGGCGGCGGCGGGGGCGGGGGCGGGGGCGGGGGCG